TATCTATCTATCTATCTATCTATCTATCTATCTATCTATCTATCTATCTATCTATCTATCTATCTATCTGCTATCAACAAACAAGCTATAAACAAAACATAGTTAATAACAATCAAAATAGAAAAAGGGAAAATATAAACAATCTTAACAATTGCACCTACAATATTACATCTTAAAGAATAAATTAACCTTTCAAATTTAAAAAAATATCCACTGTAAAGTATCATGAAATCTGTGCCAACCAGAAACCTATTGTGTCATTTTTTTTAATTAGGAGAAAAAATATTCTTTTTGGAAAGTAAAATAAATGACCAGAAATCCCTCCTCCCCATAAACCCACACAAATTATTTATAGGTATCTTGGTCTGTTTTGGCAAAAATCTATATTAATATTCTGTAAGAAAATTTAAACTATGGAATGCCAAATACTTATTCAAGTAATATAAAAATGCTTTCAAATGCCATTATGTGTTTGAACAACTAACATTATATTATCACGAGGTACCATGCAGACTGATTAAAATATTGGTCTGAGAACAGAATGGATTCAGGTCTAAAATCCCACTGGGGCATTAGCTCTCCTTTAGCTCAGACTACCTTTTATTAGGGGAGGGAAGGATGGAGAGAGACTGACCCACACTACTGAGTTCTTGGTGGAAAATAAATATACATTTAGCAAACAAAAATGTTTTGTGGGGTCTTTGGTGCTCTCTGACTTGGTAATACAATTAATTACCAAACTAGGTAACGTCATCAGTGCTAGAAGAGAATGGTACTTGCTCTTATTTTTATATACAAGTGGCTCACCCTGTCAGTGTTGGTGCTCATAGAGTATCAAGGACCCCACAGTTCAACCCTTGAGCTACAAATATTCTCTTCTATCAGTGTTTGATGAATGTTCAACAAATGTGTAAATTTGGGCCAATATTTACTACTTTATTTTAGCTCCAATGGAATGAGCATGCAAGCTCATTATGAAGCTCACCATGATTTTATGTGTCCTTCCTCTTTTAATTGCCCTCCCTTCCCTACACTCTCTTAGAAAGTTTTATAAACCCCTTCGGTAAATTTCCTGATGTGTCAATCACAGGAGAAGCCTTTATTTTGATAAAAGTTTGAATGAAGCACCCCTTCAAAGCTGATTCAAAATATAAAGTCCTCCCATTTCCAAAATAATAATAATAATAATAATAATAATAATAATAATAATAATAATAATAATAATAATAATAATAACAACAACAACAATAATAATAATGAGAAGAGACCCAATTGCTTGGCTTCATTCTTTTTTTACAGACCTTCTACAATTTCTACTGATGTTTAAACCTATCCTGGAAGTGGTTTCTGTAGAATTCTATCCAAATCTCTATAAAAAATGAAAATTTAACTCTTCCACTCCCTATCCCTAAAGTGAAAAATATATATAAAATATCAGACCAAGTCTTCCTGGTGATCTTTTTATTTCCCTTCTAATGACCTTTGAAAAATGTGGGGAAATGGGCTTTCTTTTTGGAGGAAACCTCTTCCTTTTTTGACTATATTAATGTTTGGAAATGAATGTGGTTTTCTTCCCACAGCCCTGTTGTTTCAATCCCCATCTTTAATTTTAAACACAGACACAGACACACACACATGCACCAAGTTGCACTGTCATCCTGTGGTTATTTTGCCACTAAATTTTGCTGGTACGTTCTTGAGATGATGTGTAGGTACAGGTGATCACAGGCTAGCCATCTCCTGCATGGAATATAATTGGCAGATCTCAGTGGCTGCGTTTGAACACCACTTGAAGCCAGAATGACAACAAAAAAAGCCATTTTGTGACTTACAGCCAAGTATGAACCCAATCTCACTAGACATGTAATCCTCAATGGAACTGTATCTACATGGAGGGAAGTATGCAGTGGGGTACCCCAGGGCTCTGTTTTAGGCCCAGTACTCTTCAACATATTCATCGATGATGAAAGGATAGATGGAGAACTCATCAAATTTGCAGATGGCACCAAGCTAGCAGGAACAGTCAACACTCCAGAAGATAGGTTTAAGATACAGAAAGATCTTGACAGACTTGAACATTGGGCATTATCTAACAAAATGAAATTCAATGGTGAAAAAAGTAAGGTTCTACATTTAGGCAAGAAAAACGAAATGCACAGGTACAGTATATGTGGTACCTTGCTCAATAGTGGTGACTGTGAGAGGGATCTTGTAGACAATCACTTAAACATGAGCCAGTAGTGTGCAGCAGCTGCCAAAAAAGCCAACACAGTCCTAGGCTCCATAAAGATCACGTGAAGTGCTAATATCACTTTATAATGCCTTGGTTAAGGCCACACTTGGAATACTGCATCCAATTTTGGTCGCCACAATGTAAAACAGATGTCGAGACTTTAGAAAGAATACGAGAAGAAAGATGATTAGGGGACTGGAGGCTAAAACGTATAAAGAATGGTTGCTTGAGCTGGATATGTCAAGTCTAATGAAAAGAAGGACTAGGGGAAGTTTTAAAGAAAAGATTGGACAATCATTTGTCTG